GTCTTGAACTCAGAGATCCTCCTGCCTCTGCCTCTGAAGGTCTGGTATTAAAGTTGTGTACAACCACATCTGGCTAATAAGCAAATCATAAGGAAAAAATATAAAAAGAGGGGCCAGATATTAGCGATGTATGGCTTTTAATCCCATCACGTGGGAGGCAGAGGCAGGTGGGTCTCTGAGTTCGAGACCAGATCTAGTTCCAGAATAGCCAGGGTTAAACAGAGAAATGATTGTCTTGAAAAAAACCAAAAACAAAAAAACAAAACAAAACAAACAAACAAACAAAAACCAGAGAGAGATAGATGGACAGCCAGCCATTGAGTGAAGGTAGGTTTGACACACCAACCTTCCTCAAGCGTTGGAGAGAGCTGGTACCAGCGTCTCACTGCTATCCACTGGCAGAGGCAAAGACAGCTTTCCTCATCTCTCTGCTGGAGCAGGGGCCGCGCCTGACCCCATCCTCCGTGTGACTGCATTCCTAGGCCCTGTCCGGCTACCATATTCTTTCTGTGTTTTCAGACGTCGAACAAAGCATGGGGCTGATGCACAGTGGCGTTGTGTACGCACTCTGGGACTACAGCGCAGAGTTTGGGGATGAGCTGTCTTTCCGGGAGGGCGAGTCCGTCACTGTGCTGCGGAGAGACGGGCCGGAGGAGACCGACTGGTGGTGGGCTGCACTGCACGGCCAGGAAGGCTATGTGCCGCGCAACTACTTCGGGGTGAGCCCAGAGGCTACCTGGTGGGAGTCCCCTATTAATGGGTTGGGCTAGGCTGATCTGTTATCCTAACACTTTGGAGGCTGAGGCAGAGGGATTGCCAAGAATTCAAGGCATGACAGCTACCTACAGGTTCCCCAACATCTTCCTGCTCCTTTTCTGGCTCGTTCTTATTTAGATGTTTTGATTGGTCATGGGTGTGGCTGGCTGGTGGTTAGATGGTAGCCCCTGTTCTTAGGGGTGGGATCAGCGGTGATGGGCTCCTGGTGTCTGACAGTCCTCTTCCCTCAGCTCTTCCCTAGAGTGAAGTCTCAGCGGAGCAAAATCTAGTAGGAATGAAGGATGATTAGTACAAGCCAGCCTGCCTTCCACTCAGACCTGCCCGATCCATCCAGCTTATCTGCGCGCTATTCTCCAGAGAGGTTCTGCCTGGACCGGAAATTCTCTGTTCCCTGAGAGGCTCAAGGGAGGGCAACCCCAGACTGAAGATTACAAAGCTGCCTTAAGCATTGGGGTGAGGTGGGGCTGGGGACCTTTAGGGCAGGAACTCCCACCCCATCCCCAACACACACACACACACACACACACACACACACACACACACACACACTTGCCAAATCAGATCTGGTTCTAAGTGCCTCTTATTGTCAGCAAGCCACCGCGCTATCCCAGCTGAGCCTGGGAGGCCACCCACCCCTTCATTTCTCTCTGAGTCCTTTCCTCCTCTCTCTCAGAAGTCCGCATTCTTCCCAGCAGCCTCCTTTCCTCCCAGAAGCCTTGGGGCCTGTGTGAGGTCCCCATCTCCTCAACCAAGTGCCTTGACACCATGTGGCTTAATGTTTATAATGACATGGGAAACGGTTTCCTTTATAAATAAAGGTTGTTTGCCCAGAAATGAACAGCACTTTGATTCTGTTCAGACAACATGAATGCTGTGTGTGTTGGTTAGTTTTTGTCAACTTGACACAAACCTAGACAGGATAGTTCTCACAGATCTGTCTCACACAATAAGGCCAATACTTATTTTTCTTGTTAGTTTTTTGAGTCAGGGTTTTGCTATGTAGACCAGGCTGGCTTGGAACCTGCTTTTTCCTCTCAAGTGCTGGGACAGAAGATGAACACCACCATGTCCAATCTTTTTGATTTAGAAACAAGATATTATGTTTGGTTTAGGCCAGCTTTTTTTTTTTTCTTTAAAGATTTATTTATTTATCTTATGTATCTGAGTACACTGTCACTGTCTTCAGACACACCAGAAGAGGGCATTGGATCCCATTACAGATGGTTGTGAGCCACCATGTGGTTGCTGGGAATTGAACTCAGGACCTCAGGAAGAGCAGTTAATGCTCTTAACCATTGAGCCATCTCTCCAGGTCATTAGGTGAGCTTCAAACTTATAACTCCTTGTGTCTCCAACCCTGTAGGACCTTGAGATGACAGATGATGAGCTACTATTGATTAATTAGTTAGTTAATTTTGCAAAAAAAAAGCACCATTTTAATCGTGTGACCACATTAGCAAGTGCTATAAATAAAAAAGGACCCATGAATAATTTATTTTATTTTATTTTTTATTTTATTTATTTATTTATTTATTTATTTATTTTTGGTTTTTCGAGACAGGGTTTCTCTGTGTAGCCCTGGCTGTCCTGGAACTCACTCTGTAGACTAGGCTGGCCTCGAACTCAGAAATCCACCTGCCTCTGCCTCCCAAGTGCTGGGATTAAAGGCGCGCGCCACCACCGCCCGAATAAAATTTTTTTAGAAAGGAAAAGAAAAAAAAGAAAAAGGTCATCTCCCCCAAGGCTGTCTTCAGGGTCCTAACAAAAGGTTTAAGTTTAGAGAGCAAGAGGTATGTATAACTAGCCGGGCAGTGGTGGCACACGTCTTTAGTCCCAGCACTCAGGAGGCAGAAGCAAGCACATCTCTGTGAGTTTGAGGCCAGCCTGCTCTACAAAGCAAAGTGCAGGACATTTGTAACATGAAATCCAAGAGCTGCTGAGATGGCTCAGCAGGTAAACACGCCTGCCAAGCCTGGCAGCCCTCGTTCGAGCCTCTGGGTCCAAGGAACGATGGAAGGATAGTAGCTATTCCTGCAAGTTGTTCTCTGACAATCACAGTGAATGTTCATGGAACAGATACATACATAAAACTATGCAACTAATACTTAAAAAAAAAAAAAAGAAAGTAATTTAAAAAAGAAAGAAAATGGGTGGGGCTGAAGAAACAGCTTGATGGTTAAGAGCACTGTTAACTTTTTTTTAAAAAAATTTATTGTCGGGCGGTGGTGGCGCATGCCTTTAATCCCAGCACTTGGGAGGCAGAGGCAGGCGGATTTCTGAGTTCGAGAGTTCGAGGCTAGCCTGGTCTACAGAGTGAGTTCTGGGACAGCCAGGGCTCCACAGAGAAACTCTGTCTTGAAAAACCAAAAAAAAAAAAAAAATTTATTTATTTCATTTATATGAGTACACTGTGGCTGTCTTCAGACACACCAGAAGAGAACATTGGATCCCATTACAGGTGGTTGTGAGCCACCATGTGGTTTCTGGGAATTGAACTCAGGACCTCTGGAAGAGCAGCCAGTGCTCTTAACCACTGAGCCATCTCTCCAGCCCAAGAACACTGTTACTCTTGCAAGGGATCTGCGTGACTTCCAGCACCTGCATGGTGCCCACAACCATCAGTAGCTTCAGTACCAGCGGATCCGACGCCTTCTAACCTCTTGAGGGTACCAGGTACACAGATGATGAACGTACCTGCATGAGGCAAAACACTCACACACATCAAAAATAAAATAACTAAAAAAGAAAGAAGAAAATAGCTAGACATTGTGGCATACCTTTTTTTTTTTGTTTTTTTTTTGTTTGTTTGTTTTGTTTTTTTGAGACAGGGTCTCTCTGTGTAGCCCTGGCTGTCCTGGAACTCACTCTGTAGACCAGGCTGACCTCGAACTCAGAAATCCGCCTGCCTCTGCCTCCCAAGTGCTGGGATTGTGGCACACAGCTTTAGTCTCATCACACAGTCCAGATGCAGAGGCAGGCAGGTCTCTGTGAGTTCAAGGCCAACCTTGTTTATCGCATGAGATCTAGGACAGTGTCAGAGAGACTGTCTCAAAAAGAAAAGAAAGAGAGAAAGAAGTGAAGGGAAGAAGAAAAGCTGAAGGTGATATTTGAGCAAGGATCTGGAGATATGAAATAACCGACAGCCTTGTCCAGCCCAGCCCTCAGGAGTCTAAGGTGGGTAAGTCACAAGCCAGGGGCTAGCCCAGGCTATAGAGTGAGCTCCAGACCAGCTTGGGTTACATAGTGCGACTGTCTCAAAATACAGTGGGCCATTGTCTTTTGACCTGAGTTTGATTCCCTCACATGGTGGAAGGAAAGGGTTGAACCACATTCTTCTGGTTTCCTCTTCCTTCCACAGGCCAGAGGTATTGGATTCCACGGAGCTAGCCCTAAAGGTGATCGTGAACTGCCTGATTTGGGGGGCGGGGAGCCACCTGGGAACCCTACTCCTCTTCAAGATCAGAAAGTCCGTTTACCTACTGAGCGGTCCTTAATTGATGAATTTTTGTTTGTTTGTGAGCCTATGCTTTATCGTCTGAACCATCTCTCCAACCCCTATTAATGAATGCTTAAAAACACGTGATAGAGTCTGGCTAGGGTTCAATAAATAGGAGGAACTGGTTTTAGGTTTCTTTTTTCTTTCTTTCTTTTTTTTTTTTTTTTGGTTTTTCGAGACAGGGTTTCTCTGTGTAGCCCTGGCTGTCCTGGAACTCACTCTGTAGACCAGGCTGGCCTTGAACTCTCAAACTCAGAAATCCGCCTTCCTCTGCCTCCCAAGTGCTGGGATTAAAGGCGTGTGCCACCACCGCCCGGCCCTGGTTTTAGGTTTCTTGCCTTGTTTGGACACCAGACTTTTCTAAATAGTGCTTGTATGGTACAACTACGCCTTTGTAACGTAAAGGCTCCGAACGGCCTCCAATTTCTCTGTTATTCTCTCCTAAACTCTATTCATGACTCAGACAACCAGGACAGAACCGGGAGGAGCAAACGTCAAATGGACTGTATCGATTCTCTCGACTCTCTGCTTTCTATGTTCTGTTCGAAGTCCTCGGCGATCCTCAGCGATGCCTCGCGCACACCACTCCGAAGTCCGGCCTCTCAACCACCGCGCGCACGCGCCAATTTTCCGATTGGCGGAGTGACGGGCGGACTTAGCCAATGACGTCGCGAGGAAGGTGGAGCTCTGGGTCACGCCCCCTTGTTGAATATTCAGGAGGCGGGCGAGTGGACGCCGGGGCGAGCCGCCATGAAGTGAGATGGGGTCTCGGGAAGAGCGGTCGGCTCTGCGGTGGGCGATGGGGCGGCCGGTGGGCGTCGCCGGGGCCGGGGCTCGGCGTGGAGAGGCTGTGGAAACCGGCACGGGTGGCTTCGGGGTCCGTGGCGGGGAGACGTCACGGGGGCGGCCGGGCGGGCGGCGCGGAGGCCGGGGCGGCTCGAGAGCACCGGGCACCGACGCCTCGCCGCCGCCAGGCTCAACGTGGACGGGCTGCTGGTCTACTTCCCGTACGACTACATCTACCCGGAGCAGTTCTCCTACATGCTGGAGCTCAAGCGCACGCTGGACGCCAAGGTGGGTGACGAGGTTACTTTCCTTGCACTCCGATGCCTCCCGCAGGCTAACGTCCTTGTCGGGGGCCCGGGCCTTGCTATCCCAGCACCCGGAAGACCCAGGCAGGAGCATCGCTGCGAGTCTGGAGACCAGCCGAGGCTACACAGCGAGACTGAGTACTGACAACAAATGTAAATAGCAGGGCTAGGAATGTAGCTCAGTTGGTAGGGTGCTTGAAAGTCTTGGTTCCATCCTGGCATCGCATAGACTGTATGTGACAGTAATTACAGTTATGTCTGTAATTCCAGAAGCAGGGATGCTGAGGAAGGATTGCTCGAGTATGGATTTCATAGTGAATTCCAGGCTAGCTAGGGCTATATATAGGGAGACTGTTTCCAAACACAATTAGATAATAATGTAGGAGAGACGGTTGTAGGTCCGTTGGTAGAATACTTGCATAGTGTATTCAAATCCCAACACCGAATTAACGCGGCACAAGATGATGCATACCTGTAACCCCAGCCCTGAGGAGGCTGAGGCAGGAGGAAATCTGAGAGTTTGCAGCAGTCTGGGTGAGCTCCAGGCTAGCCAGGGCTGTGAAGCATGATGATCTTCCTTAAAAAGATAAGGGCAGTCAAGATGGCACAGCACTTCTTCTTTGCCATCCTCCCACCTTAGCTTCCTAGGTAGCTTGGGTGACAGGCTTTAACAGGGCTGACTACTTGCACTGATTGGTCTGTCTGGAGGTATTCCTGGGAGGCACAGTAGTGGAGAGGGAAGGGGTTCCATATGTGGAGGTCAGAGGACAACTTCGTGGAGTCGGGTTTTTCCTTCCACTTTTTTTTTTTTTTTTTTGGAGACAGGGTTTCTCTGTGTAGCCCTGGCTCTCCTGGAACTCAGTCTGTAGACCAGGCTGGCCTCACACTCACAAGAGATCCACCTGCCTCTGCCTCCCAAGTGCTGGGATTAAAAGCGTGCACCATCGCCACTCAGATTTCTTCCACCTTTTTGCGGGTTCTAGGGATCAAACTCAGGCTGTTGGACTTGGTGGCAGTCGCCGTTACCTGCTGAGCTATTTCAACAGCCCCGTCTGGTTATGCATATTTGGGATGTGTGTACACGTGCTGCGGTGTGCATGTGGAGAGTAGAGGAGTGGGTTCTTTTCCTTCCTTGTATGTCATGGTGATTGAATTCGGGTGATCAGGCTTGCCCACATGTGCCTTTACCTGCTAAACCATACTGCTGGCCCACCAGTGTATTAGTCCTTAACAGCCTTGCTCCAAGTATGGTTTATAGAGCTACTTAGAAGCAAGGGTGCTGTGATCCAGAGAGGTAAAGGTTCCTACTGTGTGTTGCTCAGTAAATTCGTTAGCTATGTCAGTAAGAGGGACACAGGAATAGGGTTCAGCCTGTAACCCCAGTACTCAGAAAGTGGAGGCAACAGGATTGCCAAAAGTTCGAAGCTAGCCAGAGTACTAGGCTAGCCAGGTCTACATAGCAAGATCGTTTGGGGTGGGGGTGGGGTGGGGATTAAGAATGAAAAATTAAAAGTCCAGCAAAAAAGGAGGAGCGGAGATTGTCGGTCCTGGGTCCTTGACAACGGCTCCACTGCTGTGTGTGTTGCCTTGCTGTTCCCGGGTGGTGGCATGTCAGGAAGAGTTCCCCAGAGTTTATACCGATGAGCTTCTGAGAGACTGTGTCTTACCTCTTCTGTACCCAACTTTCAGGGACATGGAGTCCTGGAGATGCCCTCAGGCACTGGGAAGACGGTGTCCCTATTGGCTCTGATCGTGGCCTATCAGCGGGTGAGTGGCCTCCTGAGTGCCTGGGATGGGATCAGGAGGGGACTGGATGGGGCTGGATGGGGCTGAGGCCACTTGTCGCCCACAGGCTTATCCGCTGGAGGTGACCAAACTTATCTACTGCTCACGGACCGTGCCAGAGATTGAGAAGGTGGGCAGTGCAGACAGAAACCATGCTCTGCCCCCTCCCCTGGGCCTTGGTGGTCCCCAGTCACTGTGGGCAGGGACTTGTGCTTGTCCCGAGGTCCCCACTTAATGCTCCCTCCCATCGTCTGAGCAGGTCATAGAAGAGCTTCGCAAGCTGCTCAGCTTCTACGAGCAGCAGGAGGGTGAGAAACCGCCGTTCTTAGGACTGGCTCTGAGTTCAAGAAAGAACCTGTGCATTCATCCCGAGGTGAGCCCCGCTCACTCTTATCCCTGGGCCACTCGGCACAAGCCCCAGAGTGGACCCTTTGTCAGGCTGAGGTGACCGTGAACAGGACTTCCTTTTCAGTTGTTAGATCGATGCTCATCCTTTGTGGCTAAGGGTAGCACAAGATCAGGAACGGCTTACGTGCCAACATGGCACCTTGGACCATCTCATTTTATCTTTTGGGACAGGTCAAAATCTAAATGGTAGCTTACTCAGAGTATTGAGTATTTTTGTGTACAGGCAAAATAGGATAATTTCATGGCAGCCTCAGGTCCTGTCTGACAGTGTCCATTATGTTTACTCAGGTATTCCAAAACCCGCACCCATCCGGAACCAAAACACCGCTGAGCCAAGCGTTCTCACAGAGGGGCTACTAAAGGGGTCTTTGTTTGTTTAGAGAGAATTTAGGCATTTATTTATTTTAAGATTTATTTATTCCGCCGGGTGGTGGTGGCGCACGCCTTTAATCCCAGCACTTGGGAGGCAGAGGCAGGCAGATTTCTGAGTTTGAGGCCAGCCTGGTCTACAGAGTGAGTTCCAGGACAGCCAGGGCTATACAGAGAAACCCTGTCTCGAAAAACCAAAAAAAAAAAAAAAAAAAGATTTATTTCATGTATGTGAGTACACTGTAGCTGTCTTCAGACACCAGAAGAGGGCATCGGATCCCATTACAGATGGTTGTGAGCCACCATGTGGTTGCTGGGATTTGAACTCAGGACCTCTGGAAGAACAGTCAGTGCTCTTAACCGCTGAGCCATCTCTCTAGTCCTAGGCATTTATTTTTTATAACCTTATGTATTGCTTGTGTGTATGTTTGTGCACGTGTGTATGTGTGTGTATGTGTGTGCATGTGGAGGGCAGAGGATGACCTGTGGGAGTCTGTTCTCTCCTTTCACTGTGTGGATCCCAGGGATTGAAATCAGTGTGTTAGGCTTGGTGGTAGACCTCCGTACACACTGAGCCCTCCAGCTGGCCCTCTGGTTGGCTGCTTTCCTGTGATACGGATTGTCCCTACAGCTTTGCGTGTGCTAGCAAGCACTCTACCTACCATTGAGAAATGTCCCCAGCTCCTTTTCACACTTTATTGTGGCATGGGGCCTCAGTAAGTTGCCCAAGTTGACCTGTGTTTATATTCCTCCTGCCTCAGCTGGAGTGACTGGGATTGCAGGCACCTGCTGCCACGCCCAGCTCTGACGGGATGACTGTAGCCATGCTCCACACATACATCACTGCAGCAAGTTCTTTTAGCAAATAGCAACTCAGCCAGGCGTGGTGGCACATGCCTTTAATCCCAATATTCAGGAGGCAAAGGCAGGCGGATCTCTGTGAGTTCAAGACCAGCCTGGTTTATAAAATGGGTCCAGGGCAGCCAGGGCTGTTACACTGAAAAACGCTATCTTCAAAAAACCAAACGAACAAAAACAAAACAAAACAAAGAAACAAATAGCAAATCAGGTGAAGGTTCCTGTTGCCCCAAACCCCCCATTGATGTTCTATTCCTGGTGTCTGAGTTTGGAGACCCAGGTTAGAATAGCTGATACACACCACTTCCTGTCTGTTTTAAGTTGTCCCCTGATTCCCACCCCCGCCCCCCCAGGTGACACCACTGCGCTTCGGGAAGGATGTTGATGGGAAGTGTCACAGCCTGACGGCGTCGTATGTGCGGGCACAGTACCAGCAAGATGCCAGCCTGCCTCACTGCCGCTTCTATGAGGTACAGGGGAGAGCCCGGACTGGGGAGCAGGGCTGGGGGCACACCAGTGCAGCTCTCCCTGACCCTGACACCCTCTGGCCTTGCCCCAGGAATTTGACATCCATGGACGCCAGGTGCCCCTCCCTGCGGGCATCTACAACCTGGATGACCTGAAGGCCCTGGGGCAGCGGCAGGGCTGGTGCCCCTACTTCTTGGCTCGATACTCGGTGAAGAGTTGTTTTGTTTTCTGAGGCAGGATCTCATGTGTAGCCCAAGCTGGCCTCAAACTTGGAATACCCCTGCCTCAGGTTCCCAGCTGTCAGGGTATAGGCATGAGCCATCCTTCTGTTGGCCCGCTGTCTGCTTGCATTGTGTCTGTTATCTGGATTGTCTGTCTCCATCCTGTTACCACTGGTTTTTTTGTGCCTTGCCTGGGTGATCCCGTCCGTTTTTCCACCCATTGCTGTGTCTGTCTGTGGCACCTTCGTAGACCTGGGATAGATTGGGTGTGACGGGGGTAGAAGAGCCCAGGGCAACCTTCCCTCTGTGTGCCCAGATCCTGCATGCCAACGTGGTGGTTTACAGCTACCACTACCTCCTGGACCCCAAGATCGCGGACCTGGTATCCAAAGAGCTGGCCCGCAAGGCCGTTGTGGTCTTCGATGAAGCTCACAACATCGGTGAGGAGGGTGTCAGGGTGTGCAGACACGGGCAGCCCTCTGCCTCTCACCCCCAAGCCCGGCTGAGCCCAGTTCTCTCTCCTTTGCCCTTTCTCCCAGACAATGTCTGCATTGACTCCATGAGTGTCAACCTCACCCGCAGGACTCTGGACCGTTGCCAGAGCAACTTAGACACGCTGCAGAAGACCGTGCTCAGGTGCCCTCTCTGCTCCCACTGTTGTGTGCGCCACAGCGGCCCTGGACACCTGGTTCATTCCAGCTCTTGTCCCGTTGTCCCCCAGGATCAAGGAGACAGATGAGCAGCGGCTGCGGGATGAGTACCAGCGCCTGGTGGAGGGCCTGCGGGAGGCCAGTGCGGCACGGGAGACAGATGCCCACCTGGCCAACCCTGTGCTGCCCGACGAGGTGCTGCAGGGTGAGCTACCCCCCCTGTCCCCCCCCAGCCTCTGCCCCGCACACACCCCTCCTGTATCAGCTGACTCGGTCTCCCTGCAGAGGCAGTGCCAGGCTCCATCCGCACGGCCGAGCATTTCCTGGGCTTCCTGCGGCGGCTGCTGGAGTATGTCAAGTGGCGGCTGCGCGTGCAGCACGTGGTGCAGGAGAGCCCACCTGCCTTTCTGAGCGGCCTGGCCCAGCGTGTGTGCATCCAGCGCAAGCCCCTCAGGTGCGGCCTGCAGGGGAACCATGGGCCCAGGCTGTGGTGCTGGTCACGAAGGGGTCTGGACCATAGATGAGGCTCTGGGTCAGGTCAGAGCTGGATGTCGAGGGAGTCCATGGGACTGTGTAGTTGGCAGTGAGGGCTGCAGCCATGTGTCCCTGTGTTGGGGGATGAGTAGGTAACACAGCCTCTGTGAGCCTAAGAAAGCGTGTGGCTCTTCCTCCTTGAGTGTGGGGCCCATGACAGGCTGGACAGAAGCAGAGTGACTATCAGCCATGAGTCTTGACGAGATACTGCACGTGAGCAGCGAGCCTGTGCACCGTGTGATTGTGCTGTGCTCCAGCATGGAGTGGTAGTCGGGCCTGTTGCTCTTCCTGCTCCTGACCCCACTGCCTCTCAGGTTCTGTGCTGAGCGCCTCCGCTCCCTGCTGCACACCCTGGAGATTGCTGACCTGGCCGACTTCTCCCCGCTCACACTCCTTGCTAACTTCGCCACTCTTGTCAGCACATACGCCAAGGGTAAGCGCGCCTCTCTCTCCTGGGGCCCTGACAGCAGGACTTGGGGACTCGGCCTCATGGGGTGGGGTATTGGGGGTTGGGGGGAGGGAAGACCATACAAAGCGCCTGAGTGAGGAGGAGCCTCATGTTCAGAGGCTCCTTCTGGCCACATATGGACAAAGTGCACGGGCAGTGCTGTGGCACTGACCAGAGTGGTGCTAGGGTCACCTCACCATCGGCGGGTTGCCGAGTCCCCGCGTGTGCCTGAGGTCATGAGGGAGCCATGGCAGGTTCTGGGCGAGGCATGCACTTGGTGAGATTGTTGCTTTCGAGGTTCATGGAGCAGGGAGATGCAGAGCCATAGACCATGAGGGCAGGAGAGCGTGCTTGGGGAGAGCTATGGGAGGAGGCGGCCAGGACGTGGGAGCATGGCGTTGGGCGTGAAGACCTCAAGGGAGATGGATACAGGCTGACACATGGAGGCCTGCCTTGCAGGACTTTCTGGTGGCTGTGGCTCGGGTCCATCTGTCACGTTACCTCTGTCCATGTGTTAGGTGCCTTCCCCACCCCCCGCCAGCTTTACACTGAGTTTTCAGCTTAGCCCTGGGGATTACTGCCGTAGCCAGGAAACCAGGTCAGCTGGCAGCTGGGCCAACCTCAGAAGGAGGATAACCCCGTCAGCCCCACGGCTGGGCTGTTGGCAGCTGCCTGCTTCCTTCAGCTTCCGGCCCTCACCCAGCCCCTTCTCTTGGCCTTTGTTTCTTCCCCTCCCCCACCTACAACACACATCACAGTGGACCGGAACCTCCTCCTCCACACCTCCCATCACCTGCCTGAGTCCTTGAGCTCTCAGAAAGGCACCGGGCCGCCCTGTGCTGGGCCTGCCCCTCTCTATTCCAGCTGCATCTCAGATCACTGCTCTCTGGATAGCCGTCTCCCCAGTACAAGGGAGCCCTTGTGGGTGGGACCCAGGCTGTGTCGGTCACTGCTGTGTCCTTGGCAAGGGCTGGACACCGAAGACCTGATCAGTTCTTGCCAAGTGAAACAGAGTCCGTGAATGTATTCATTTGTTCAGTCAACTAATGGAGCCGGGCCCAGCGCGGTCAAAGCAAGAGGTCTAAAAAGAACCCCCCCCCCCCCCCGCCCCTTCCAGGAGTGAGCCTGGGGGAGAACGAGGCGCAAAGACGGTTCCCGGTGACCCGTAGCACTGGCCTCTGGGGCAGGGACTAGGCCAAGTGGAGGCTGACACAGCAGCTGGTGCAGGAGGGTTCGGCAGAGTCCATGGCACTCTTCTGGGGTCATGGGAAGAGTGTGGAAACGAGAAAACTTGGGGGTCCATGGCATGTCTCTGGTTGCTGTGTGGGGAGTAGGAATGGGGGGGCTGGAGGACAGGGGGGCCTGGGGAACGGCGAGCTTGGTCTACCTGCAGGACCGTGTGTGAAGCCACAGCTCACTCTGCTTCTGACCTGGGTGTGGCTGTGCGGGCTGGGGCGGTTCTTCTCCTGGATGGCGAGTGTGTGGGGTGATGCAGCAGGTCAGGTGTGAGTGACCCAGGGAGACTCACTGCCCCCCCCCCCCCAGGCTTCACCATCATCATCGAGCCCTTTGACGACAGGACCCCCACCATCACCAACCCCGTTCTCCACTTCAGGTGAGATGCGCCCTGTGTGGATGGGTCAGGCCTCAGCCCCACCCTCTGCCCTGTGACCCTGTGTTATCTGTCCCACAGCTGTATGGATGCCTCCTTGGCCATCAAGCCTGTGTTTGAACGCTTCCAGTCTGTCATCATCACTTCGGGGGTGAGGATTCTGTGCTGTCTCTCCATCGGGGTCCTGGTCCCTGGCCATCCTGCTGAGGTCTCACTTGCTGTCTCTCTTACAGACACTGTCCCCACTGGACATCTACCCCAAGATCCTGGACTTCCACCCCGTCACAATGGCAACCTTCACCATGACGCTGGCCCGAGTCTGCCTCTGCCCGATGGTGAGTGGGTGAGGCAGATGGCTTCACCCGGCTTCGACCTGGGCAGCTCACCTGAGGCTCAAGCCTGGTGGGTGCACCAAGCTACCAAGTGCTGCCGACATGGGAAGGCTTCTTCCCAGCAGCCTGGGCCATGGAACTTAGACATGTGCATGCACACTGGGGCAACGCAGGCCTGAGCAGCTGGTGCTTGGGCATCATCTTGTTGAGGGTGGCTTTGTCATGTGTCATCCAGCAGTGTTTTGGGTGATGAGCCTCCCTCTGAAGCCTGAGGCAGGGCTGTCCCCTCAGTCTCATGGCCTCTGCTGTGCAGTTCATAACCCTGCAGCTCGCTAGGCATGTCCACTGCACGGTCCCCGGTCCACGAGGAGTCAAGGGGAGCTGGGAATGCAGCCAGGCACAAAGTCAGAAACCCTTTCAGACCTTCCTGTCAGGGAAGGGCTGGAACCAGACCTCAGGCTGATGGAGCATGGAGTCTGTGGAGAGCAGTGTCAGAGGCCACCTACCTGTCATGGCAACAGGGCTTAGACAGTTGTTTTTAGAGGTGTGGGTCAGGGCCATGTCCATGCCTGTGATCCCAACTCCGGAAGTGGGGCAGGAGAACCAGGGTCACCTTGGCTACACAAAACTTCAGGAGGTTGGAGAATAGCCTTCTCAGGGGCTTGGGAGGATGGAGACCCTCAGGTGGTTCCCAGTCTGCAGGCCAGCCTGGGCTACATGAGACACCATCTCAAGAAAAAGGGTGTTTGGGGCTGGAGAGATGTCTCAGCGGTTAAGAGCACGGACTACTCTTTCAGAGGTCCTGAGTTCAATTCCCAGCAACCACATGGTGGCTCACAACCACCTGTAATGGGATCCGATGCCCTCTTCTGGCGTCTGAAGACAGCTGCAGTGCACTTACATACGTGAAATAGATAAATAAATCTTTAAAAAGAAAAGGGGGGTTTGACTGTCAGTCAGTATGGTTACATCACCCTTAGTCTGACTCTTACAGATCATCGGCCGTGGTAATGACCAGGTAGCAATCAGCTCCAAATTTGAGACCAGAGAAGACATTGGTGAGTCACCTGTAGGCTTAGTTGGGGTGGGTCTTAGGTGGCTTTGGACCTGCTGCCATAACAAGACCCCGGCGTCTGTGGCTAGCACAGGGGGCCTTCCTACCCTCAGTGCTCAGTGAATAGACCCTGGGTCTCTTCATTTGGCCATCTGCACTACCAGGCACACCACTGAGCCTAGCATAGCACAGGGCCTCTGGGACTTTGGTCACGGGCTCCTGGGCATCACATGGAAGAAACAACCACTTGTGCATGTTTCTCATGCTGTCCTGAGTTATATGGCCCTGATAAACCTCGGGAATGGGAAACGGCCCTCTAATATGCTTGGGAGAATGAACTGGGAATCTGGGTGAGAGTCCTCAACGGGAGGCAGGAGAGAATCCAGTGTCTCTAACCTACTCTTCCTAGCTGTGATCCGCAACTATGGCAACCTCCTGCTAGAGATGTCTGCTGTGGTCCCCGATGGCATTGTGGCCTTCTTTACCAGCTACCAGTACATGGAAAGCACTGTAGCCTCCTGGTATGAGCAGGTACGCCTAGCCACAGCTGCCCACGCCTTCAGCTCGGCTCTTCCTGTACGGCTTCACTCCCTCTTTGTACTGGTGACATGTGTCACAGGGCAGGACAGTGATGCTAACAGCACCCCTACCCTGCCCGTTCCCACCTTTGGGGTTTGTGTGCTGTGCTGCTCTTGGGGTTACTGCAGACTACATCCCCAGCAAGCAGGCTTGGTGCTAGAGTGTGCAAGTTCTGGAGAGTTAGGCTGGACCAGAACTTCAGATCGAAGTGCTCTCACACATGTGTGGTTGGATGGGGACACCCTTCTGCCTGACTGCTGAACCCAGCTTTCAGGCCTGGGTCTGAACAGGCACTATAGACCATATAGACTGTGGGTGTGGCTCAGGCAGGGTGCTGAGTCTGCACTCACCCAGTAAGGGGCTGTCGGGTTAAGTGGTAGAGTGAGCATCTGTGTAACACGTATGGCCATTGTCACAGTCAACCGCTAGTACTGAAAAAGACATCTGTCTATGAGACACCACAGACTCATTTGGACTCGGTGAGATAGGGTCAGAGTTCATTTTTTCCAAGTCAAAGTCCCATCCTTCACATCTTTGGTAGAGTTTGCTCACTGGCAGCACAGGTAAGGCTGCCTCGTGCCGCGGACCCCACGTCTCTGTGCCTCACTCACCACTGAGGTGACAGAGTTGACCTGAGGACAGCCTGGTTGGTCCTGCCGTGATTATGGTCAGACCCTCCATCAGTCACTTGCCACTCTGGGGCCCCGTGCTCACCTCTGGGTGGTGATTGGCTCCCTACTTGAGACTGCCTATGAGGTTGGACAGCTGGGGCCTAGAGAAAAATCTTCATGGGAGGCCAGCGGTGCTTGCCTCTGTGTGGCCTGAACCCTTACCTCCCCGTCTCCCCCAGGGCATCCTTGAGAACATCCAGAGGAACAAACTGCTCTTCATTGAGACCCAGGATGGGGCTGAGACCAGTGTGGCCCTGGAGAAGTACCAAGAGGTGGGTGCCTGGGACAGGCAGGGAAATGCCAGCAGCAGCCAGTGGGTCGGGTGAGTGGGCGAGGGCTATGGAGTGACCGCTTCCACCTCCCTAGGCGTGTGAGAATGGCCGTGGGGCCATTCTCCTCTCAGTGGCTCGGGGCAAAGTGTCAGAAGGGATTGACTTTGGTGAGTAGACCTGGCTGTTAGCCCAGGGGCCTGCCTACCCCACCACTGCTGCTCCCTTGGGGACCACTGGGTACACAGTAGTCTGTCCCCTTCCACACACTGGGGTGACCTAAGCACAGGCCTCAGCCCCAGCCAGCCCAGCATGCACGGTAATCCTCCTCTCCTGCCCCCAGTGCACCACTACGGGCGGGCTGTCATCATGTTTGGCGTTCCCTATGTCTACACCCAGAGCCGAATTCTCAAGGTAAGTGGGAAAACAGTGCTCTGGATGTGTGTGTGTGTGTGGGGGGGGGGTTGTCATGTGGGGGAAGGGCAGGCTCTCCACCTCAACCTCCTCATCCCCCAGGCCCGGTTGGAGTATCTGCGAGACCAGTTCCAGATCCGGGAGAATGACTTCCTCACCTTCGATGCTATGCGCCATGCGGCCCAGTGTGTGGGCCGTGCCATCAGGGGCAAGACAGACTATGGGCTCATGGTCTTTGCTGACAAGGTGGGGTTCAGGGCTCTTGGGCACCCCAGCCAGCCCAACTTCCTCACAGGGTACAGGGTAGTGGGCAGCCTGGGCTCCAACCTGGGGTCTGACTAATGTCCTCCCTCCTCACAGCGGTTTGCTCGGGCCGACAAGCGCGGGAAGCTGCCGAGATGGATCCAGGAGCACCTGACTGACTCCAACCTCAACCTGACCGTGGATGAGGGCGTGCAGGTCGCCAAGTACTTCCTGCGGCAGATGGCACAGCCTTTCCACCGGGTGAGCCTGGGCCCCACATGGCTTCTCAGTCCCCACACTGAGGAGTTAGGAGAGGGGAGAGTGCCAGTCCTCTTCTAGTCTGGCTGTGTACTCCTGCCACCAGACACTCTGGGTCACACAGATTATGTGAGCTGACACCTGCCCTTTACTTCTGTCCCCTCAGGAGGACCAGCTGGGCCTGTCTCTGCTCAGTCTGGAGCAGCTGCAGTCAGAGGAGACGCTGCAGAGAATCGAGCAAATTGCACAGCAGCTCTGAGCACAGGATTGTGGGTGATGCCTGTGGCTCCCGGGAGGTGCTGGAAGGTCCCAGGGCCCTTGGCGAACACCCAATACCAGTGCATAGCCTTTAATTGCAGGGAGGACCACAGGGTCCCGATGTACACATGCTGCCAGGCAGGGTGCAGGATGACCGCCCACCCTCCCTGATCCCTGAGAATCTGTGGCCACTGCAGCTGGTCCACTTAGCGCGGGCTCAGATCCTGCGTGCTGGCACTGAGAGTCCGAGGGGCCTCACTCAGGTGCCGGGCTGAGAGCTGGGGACAGGCACAGGAGTGGTTAGAGTTCTTTTCCAGTTGACACTGGAGCCACTTGAAGCCCTACCCACCAACTCAGCCCTACCTCAAGTCCCCAGGAGGAGGCCCCACCTGCTGGTAGCGCCCTCCTCTATCCCCAGCCCCTCACCTGCGTCCTGGCAGCCCTTGCCCCGTCCACGTTCAGCGTGTTGAGTGACATGGCCCTCTTCATCCTGACGAGGAGCCCAGAGAGGCAGGAGTGAGTCAGGGGAGGCTCAAGTCCCTGGCTCTGAGACTGCTGACCCCACCCAGCACTCACCCGGCCGCCCCTGCCGTGCCCTCCCCTCGGAGGCGGGAGACCAGCTTCTCACTTCCACGCCGGATGGACTCGCGGAACTCCCGGAGCTTAGAGAAAGAACTGCTCCTGCGAAGGACCTGGGGAGAGCACAGTGACATGTGGGGACATGGTGGAGGCCCACCCAGACTGGGCCCAACAAGGACCTGAGGCAGAGCCTGCTTACCTGCTGTTGTGTATCACCCGCTGTGCCTCCCTGGGGGGCTCCTGTGGGACAGAGGGGACATGGAGGTGGGAGTGAGGAACGCCACGCAGGGGGGTATACAGGGGGTGCAGGAGTGGGCTCACCAAGCGGGGCGGGCAGGGCCTCCTGGCTGAGGATCTCCTTGTATAGCTCCTCTGCCTGCTGATACTTGTTCTGCTTCAGGTAGGCTGAGGCCTGCGGGGAGGGAGGGAGGGAGAAAAAGCAGGGCGTGGGCATCTTGTTTAGGCCTGGGAACTCTTCAGACCTGCCCGCCTTCCCCAGCATCCTGCCTCGGCTTACTACAGTGCAGAGTCACCCGAGGGAACCAGGCCACCCGCTGCCGAGTCCTGCTTCTCTGCCAGTCTCCTACCTCAGTGGATGAAATGTGTGGGGTCACCCACCATGACCACAATAAAATCTGACACAGGATTCTGTGAACTGGGGTTTGCTTCTGGTTTGTGGTACTGAGGGGCCTGTGGGAGCCTGAGGTCCCTCCCCTCCCCACAGAACCCCCAGGACAGGACAGACCTAACATGCCTTACCAGGTTGTTCTTGGTCTTGGCCACATTTGGGTCATGTGGCCCCCCCAGGGCCTCATAAATGCTCAGGGCCCGCGCATAGTGCCGCTCCACGTCCTGAAACTTGCCCTGGTTCTGGCACAGTAGGGCCAGGTTGTTGAGCTGCTTGGCCACATCAGGGTGGTCTGCACCCAGGACCTAGGGTACACACAAGCCATCTGTCACATAGGGTGGCCTGTGAGATGCCACTGTCATTTTAGGGTCCCAGGCTGGGAAGATAGGGACAAAGTGGAAGTTAATGGGTTGTGGGGATTAGTGAGGTCAAAGGTCACAGGGTGCTGAGTCCAGCCAATCAGCTAAGATGTATAAGGGTTCGTGTATAAGGGTTCAGGAGATCAAAGTCAGGATTGGACTGTAAGCGCATCAAGGCCACAAGGTTGGGTGCTCCAGGCTCAAATAAGGTAGACTTGCCACCAAATGCAAGGTGTACAGATAGATGGCTGTGGCACAGAAGAGACACAGAAAGACTGAGCAAGGCACCTTCTCACGGATCTCCAGAGCACGTTGGCAGAGGGGCTCTGCCTCCCGGTAACGTCCACGTTTTCCATAGAGGACAGCCAGGTTGTTGAGGGTGGCAGCCACCTGCACTAAGACAGTTGGCAGAGGAGGAAGGCCCTGCAGCCCACCCTCCCCAGTCCATCTTCCCTCCCTCCCTCTCTGAACTGCTGCTCACTGCAGGGTGTTCAGGACCCAGCGTCTGTTCCCGGATCTGCAGGGCGTCGTGCAGAAGCTCCGTGGCCTCTTTGTATTTGTTCTGGTCCCTGCGGGGCAGCGATGGGAGGCTGGGTTAAGCTCTGGTCACAGGCTGGACTGCCAGGAATGACCGGCATCCTTCAGGGGTCCCCCTTCTCACACCTCCCAGCCCTTTAGCTCTGCGTGCCCACACTGCCAGCCCTGTCAAGCATCATGTCTCCTGTCCCTTGCCTTCTCTAGTGCCCAAACTCTGGACTCCGGCTCTCACTGCCTCTCTAGGTCTCTGCTCCTTTCATTTGTCCATCCCCTTTCATTCTGTTCCCACGCCAGACAGTTTGCCATGTCAGGAGATGGAAGTGTCCTCCGCTATCCCAGGTGGAGTCCCAGCCCAAGCAGCTGCAGCCCTCACCTGTACACGAGTGCCAGGATGTTGAGCATGGTGGCCACATCAGGGTGGCAGTGGCCGGAGCTCCGCTCCAGGTCCTCTAAAGCCTGGCGGCACAGGGGAACTGCCACCTCATAGCGGCCCTGACCAGCATACTGGATCACCAGGTTGTGCAGGGTCCGAAGACGAGCTGGGATCTCATAGCCACCCTGCTGTGCTGCTGCTGCTCCAGCTGCCTCAGGACCTGGGGGAGGTGGTGTGGAGTCAGCCTATACCCCACAGCAGTATGGCCTTGTGCTGACAGGACACAGGGATTTCTTTTTTCTTTTTTTTTTTTTTTTTTAAGTTTTTTGAGACAGGGTTTCTCTGTGTAGCCCTGGCTGTCCTGGAACTCACTCTGTAGACCAGGCTGGCCTCGAACTCAGAAATCCACCTGCCTCTGCCTCACAAGTGCTGGGATTTAAGGCATGCGCCACCACCGCCAGGCAGGACACAGAGATTTCAGAAATCTAATCAGCCAGTGGCATGTTAGGCGTCAGAACCTGACATGACTGACTTCCAGCTTCCAGTGTCCCTGCTAGCCAGAGCCACCTGCTTCTTCCCCTCCTCAGAGGCCTCAGTGTCCCACAGGGCAAGGCTCCTGCCCCAGGATTAGCCTGTAGTCTGGCGTGGTTACCCTCTGATATAGTACTCCCACATACCCACCTTTCTTTTCCTCCTCTTCACTGGGGAACAGAGAAGCCAGGCTGTCTCGGCGAGGGGGGGACTCGGGCCTCTGTGGAAAACAGGAAAGAGTTCTGAGAAAGTCAAGTGGCAGAGGTGGAGGCCCTGAAGCTACATCAGACCTGCCTGTGTAGCTGTCTGTTGTTTAGGGCCGGGGCCGGCTCACCATGTAGACTAGGCTGGCCTGCCTCTGCCTTCAAAGTGCTGGGCTTAAAGGTATGCCACCATGCCTGGCTTCAGGATTGGTATATTTAGGAGGTAAGAGTCTCACCGTGTAACCTAGGCTGGCCTAGAACTCATGGCATCCTCCAGCCTCAGCACAGTAGCTCTGGGTTTGACAAAGGTGTGGGGTGAAAGCCTTACAGGTCTCTGGGCTGGGGAAGACTGGAAGCTCTGGGGAGCATGGAGGGGACTTTGGAAGCTCAACTAGGTGTGGAGGTTTAGGGATCCCATATGTACTTGAAGGGCTTTGAGTACTAAGAAAGTTCCAAGGGCACCCAGGAGCTCTGCAGAGGACCATGTATCCCTCCTAACCCGGCCCCTGCTACCTGGCTCTCCTCAGGTGGGTCATACTGCCTCAGCTGCCCCAGGAACTGGAGGTGGCTCTTCTCCTCTTCCAGCTGGGCCACAGCCTCCTCACTGGCCCGAAGTCGCCTTTGCGTCTCCTCTAGCTCCTCTCGAAGCCATGTGTTCTCTTGGGCTAGCCTCCGGGTCTGTGCCCGTAGCCTCTGCTTCTCAGCCTCCAGCACACCCACGTGTGCAGACAGGGCCAGCAGCACCTGCGAAGCACTGGGGCCATGAGTAGGAGTGGATTCATCCCAGAGACAGCCCCAGCCCCACCCCAGCCCCAGCCCAGGATTTACATCAAGCCACATATACCCATTCTATATAGGTTTCCTCAAATTCTCAAGACACCCTACTATGTGGCTCTGATAAAGAGTTTCCCAGAAATCCCTGATTTTCCCTAAATTATGCATACGGTTAATTCCTATTCCATCTATGTAAGCTAGCACCTGCCTAGAATCCCCCAGTGAGGGGCTGGGGGCGTGGCTCAGTGGTAGAGCCTCTGCCTAGAATCCCCCAGTGAGGGGCTGGGGGCGTGGCTCAGTGGTAGAGCCCCTGCCTAGAATCCCCCAGTGAGGGGCTGGGGGCGTGGCTCAGTGGTAGAGCCTGCCTAGAATCCCCCAGTGAGGGGCTG